GTTATTAAAAATCTTTCACATTTGAGTTGAGAAGCCCCCTGTTGGCCTGGGTATCCCGTAACAGGTCAGGAGCGGGGCAAATGTTGGAAAGTTGGGCCCGAGCGAGCTAACAAACCGGGAGGGCATGGCTACAGACTGGGGAAACAAAGTTTGCAACGGATGTAAAGTTACAATGGATACGACTTCCTTTGGTCTCACTTCTGTTACTTCTTAGTAGGTTACCTTTTGGTTTGTTGACTGGTTAGACCATTCATGGTTACCTTGTTGCTTCTTACTTAGTTGCACTTGCATGTGTATGGCTTGCTTGCTTCTACTTGGTTGCTTGGTTGCTTACTTGGTTGCTCCCTTGCTTAGTGGTTGGTTGCTTATTTGGCTAGTTGGTTGCTTACTTGGTTAGTTGATGGGTGATTGGCTTCGTTTTTTACTGGTTTGCTTGTTGTTTTTCTCTGTTTTTTAATTTTGAACGTTCCTTGATTGTTGACCGGTTGTTGATGATTGATGTCCGGCCTGTATCAGACGCACAGGTTGATTGCGTGGCTAATCGTTCCCATTTTCTCTTTGATAAATGGAGGTCAAACAAATCAATTGCCACTTCATTACCCCATATATAACGATAGTTGAAGAAGAAATTGTTTCGAGGTAAATATAGACACTAGGAGGTAATGTCAAGGATAGCTGTAGTAAGCTCAAGCACTATTCAAAGTCTTTCAGATATCCCTTATACATTCTTACAGAATTATACAACTCTTAGGAACTCATGGAACACTTACGTGAGGCTTTATTTGCGATATTTTGAGCTTTATATCATCCTTTTTTAATGGGTAATGCGAAACATTACAGATGCGCCCTCTACCGCCTTCACTGCAAACATACAAGAAGCAGCGCGGCCCGGATACAGTCACGTCCATTCCTGTCACACTATGAGATAAAAAACCGAGAATTTCAACTTTCACACCTAACGCTTGTCGCTCTGACCGCGCTTTTTCATTAAAAAGATTAATTGTCATTCTAATATATGTACGGATGCCATTGTGGCCATGTGTGGTTAAAGACGGTTCCGCAAAATTGCGCGCCCAACTGTCAGAAAGATCGACTTGAAAATCGATTTTAAGCGGGCATTCCGACAGTTTCACCGTGATCACATGCGCACCGCCTAACAACGGTGTCATCCCGTCTTCACACATCCAACCAACATCGGATTTTAATTCTAATTTCATGGGAAATTTATCACTGTTAAAATTGATGATTTAATTTGCAGATGTGGACAACGCTTGGGTTGCTACAAAAGTTAATCTCTCTGAACACCGACAAAGAACATTGATTATGCTTTTGTAAAGACATTGACAAAACTTTGCAAATCCCCCCACACCTTTTTGTATGATCAGCTAATGATGTGTTTATTGCAAAATCCTGCATCATATATAGATCACACCGCCTGTGGGTACAGTTTCACACATGTTGTATGTATGCTGTGGGCTCGGTTTGGAGCGTTGTTTGGATAAGGACTGTCGTTTACGGTTGAGGTTCGGTGACAGGTGTCACAAATTCATCACCAAAACGACAGTCGCAGTCACTGAGCTACATAAATAAATCAGCGGTTCTTAATTTGGCATCGCCTCTTCACGTCTACTGGGGTAACACCGTGAAATGTTAGAACGATTATCTATGAATAAAAGCTCGCGATACAAACAAAACCATAGCATGAGAGATTTTTTTGTAAGAATACCATACAGTTCATTTTCTGTACTTAAAAACCAGAGGATATGTAGGTATGGGGAAGTTGCCCACAGTGCGTCTAAGGGAAAACTGGGATTTGGTTTTCGGGTCACCCCTACTGCAGGAATGTGTGCGGTTTGAGTATCAGTTTTGTTGTGGTAGTTTCTGTTTCTAGTTCTGTGGACGAGGTGACAATGTCGTTGGGCAGACCGCCAACACTTCCAGTCACCAGCGAACGGGAATGAAGGATGTCCCTTCTAACCCTTCTTCATCCAGGGTCGCTTTAAAACATATCCGCCCTAAGTCGAACTTAATCCATTTAGTGCTTTCGGGATAAATTCTCCATCAATCACCTTTTGGCACTTGCCTATTTACGTTTGTAACGACAGTTGTAATAGGTTAAACCATTCCTTCACGATTTATCCGCATAGTAGCGCTTGTTAGTGAAGGTAGCATCTGGAGATAATGATCTTAATTTTCATTTTTTATTAAACAAATTCCGGCAAGTTAAGCCACATGTCGCCATGTTGGAAAGGTTCCATGTCACTGTCATGGCGGCCAGGTCGGCGGCCATGTTGGATTAAGTCAGAAGTGGCAGCCCGCTGAGATAATAACTAGGCTCGTATCTCAGCATGTTTCTCCCCCGAGCTGAACTCTCGACACGCCGGGATGAAACCGTGCTACAACCCGTACAGACACCGCCTGACCTCGCCCGACACACGGGTCAAGTTTTCATCAAGATTTCTCAAACCACTGAACGGAGAAAGTCGGACTAGGAGTCACAAGATCCGGGAAGGTCTCAACCCCCAATTGTATCTGTACTACGGATCACATGCAGTCAACTAGAGCATACCCCCTACTCCTCATTTAGAGCGTCTCTCAGAAGCACAACTCTAGACAGTTCTCTTAGCTTTTCAATGATCAAACCTGACAGAAAGTTTTTGCTAAAAGCTTTTTGCTGGGCTTCTTGATGAACGGTGGGATTCAGAAGAGGGAAAATGTTTTCCATCCAGATTGGCGCCCTGCGCAGAAAGTTTCCCCTGGCCTTGTGACCCTAACCATGTATTATACTGGACTTTTGTCAGAAAATAACCATCTGTACGGGCTAGAGTGCCGAGAAGGAGCATTCAGGTCACGTTCTAACCGTACAGCCCAGAGGTCGTCCTTCGGACGAGAGTGGACGAGGAGCCGAATAAATCTCCCGCCTTTTACGCTAAGTTACAAGATGACAGAAAACAGCACGATTTCACGATTTGCGGGAAAACTCTGGCGGGAAAACAAGCTGCAAGTTCGTGTGCGTCACCCCTTCCTGCCACCCACCGTCTCAACCCGTATCAGATACTCTCAGGTTAAAACTCCAACCTCAATTTAATTAAAGACCCTCCCTGAATGGTCTTTGAAGTGTGGAGCTGTTTTTTGTTGGTATTTGACAGCAGAGTCAGACGTGAAGACTTGTGAGCGAACAGACGGATGCAGGAGCCATCACAGCAGAGTCACGGATGACTAAGTACCCGTCATTCCCTTCCCTCTAGCCGGTTTGTCTACAGAATAAATGTCGTGCACTTGGAAAAAAGGCTCTCGGGCTGTTTACATTAAGCTTCAATAGTGTGTTTTTATGAGGCCGCTTCATAAATCTTGGTTTATAGGGTCAAAACTTCTGTCTGTATCAAAACAGGTGCTCCTGCGGGACTCACGGAGGAAACGGAGATGGTTGGAGAGATATGTTATCAATAGGAGGAATAGTCCCCTTCAAAACGCCAGCCTCTGGCTGCGTCATATTTCATTTCTTTGTCAAGCCCTGAGCTAAAAGAAATAGTAGCAGGAGAAATATGACGGACTCCCTGTCCCCTCCAACCAGATTACATCCCGACTGAAAGGCCCATTTTGCAGCCACGGCGCGGTTTTACTTTAATGTAAGCGGTGATAACTTTGGGTAAAACTTCAGATCCGAATCTGCTCCCTGCTGATGTTGCGCTACTGTCAGCCTTAGCTATTTTTCTGTTGAGCGGTTTGGAGAAGAGGACTTGAAGAGGGCGGGTGTGGACTTAGGAATACAAGGAAACCTGCCATCCACCTAGTGCTCTAAGGATTTCAAGTGCCGCCATTTATTAAAACTAGGATTAGGGATTGAGTAGATTTATAAATAGGGCAGGAATCTACAGATATCGCGGCGGTTAGAGGTCGCCAGCTCAGCAGGCCCTACCCTGCTAATCACAGCTTAGACCGCAGAGGCCTTTCAATACAGGCGAATCCTCACATCAAATCAGTTGTCTATCACCGTTTGCATCAGCGTTCAAGGTGCTCTTGCTTTTCAGCGCCAAAAGGCTGAATTTTGATAAGAGACATGTGAGAATTCGTTGCGATTTACCCGCTATTTAGACAGAGGAAGCAATTTGTAAGCGTCCCACTAGGCTTCCTTATCTAGGTGGTAAAACTTTAGCGGCTGTCTGAGCGTTATCAGTCTTTTCTAGAATGACGGCGTGACTCAGGGCTTGATACAACTTCTATGGCGGATCCTAAGTTCTCCGGAACGTTGGTCAATTTTTCACCTTTGCAGAGATTTCGTTAGAAAATATTTCAAGTTAAGCCTTGCGGTTGTGTTACATGGTACGGACGGCTTCGCATTGTGTGTTTTGTGACATAAAATGTATCCGGATGTTTCACAGAACAGAGCTAGATACATCTTTATGAGTCTTGAGCTTAAGAAACGGTTGTAAACTTAAAGTAAGGTTTGTTGAAAACCAGATGTCTTGGACATAAAAGACTTTGGAGACATTCTTGTAGAAAACACGAACAGGGCTCTTGCAAAATCTCTGAGGCAGCAAATACAGCTTGCCACGTCAATACCACATGTATTTACTATGATCCCACACAAGCCAGTGTATCAGTCATATAGATTCCAAACTTTCCTTTTCCCAAGGAATAGTTTTTGTTGCTAATTTCTCGATGTAGTTCTGATACGGCGTTTTACCGTGCATGTGGCTTGTGAGGTTTCATGTAAACGTAAGTGCACATTACGGCCATCATTCACCCTGTCCAGATCACGACTTTCAGCTCATTTGTCATGCCCGGACTCTCTCACGATCCTCCGCTATCTGGGTCACGGAAGACCCACTGACATTTGTGTCCGCCCACTGGGCTTTTCCCGCTGATCTCTCCTACCGTACCTTCCGTAAAACTCGGGCGGGCTAAAGCCCCGGCTAAAGCCGCCGCCACACCACTTGTTGCTTCCCTCTCCTTTTATCGTACTAGTAAACGACATCGTAATCACAGGCTCATTCAAATGAAGTTTAGAGGATTTATTTCAACAGATAAATGTTGACCACAGTTTTTGACAAACGTGGAAGTCGATTCTAGAAGCAAGGTATCTAAAAATACAACTTGCGGCGTGTTGAAAAAAGGCTAGTGGGCATGCCGTAGGTACAGAAATTTTACAGATCTACCACATAAAAGAAATAGTTCATCAAAATCAACGGTTACAAATACTAGTCCTAAACAGAAAATAGATCTGTTTTGTAAAACGACCTGAGAGTAGAGCGTCGCGTGTCCCGATTGAAGGTATAAAACATTTTTATGATGTTGTACTTTTCGCGGCAACTATAACACAATTAAGTTTACAATGTGGACTTACTCGTATAACCTTCTGCGTGATCAAGGCGTTTTAACAAGTAGGACGGAGTCAGCCTTTCTGGGATGGCCGCCAAGTAGTAGATTGTTTAGGAACTGGATCTCTGGCCACACTTGGCAAGTAGTCAGCGCCGAGGCAGATCCTAACATCTTTATTTCCTTATTAGCGTTTTCTTCATTCTGAAAAACACGGAAGAACAAAAAATCCATCAGACCATGCTTGAAAACTGCCATAAAACACAATAAAATCCAGCTACACATCGAAATTCAAATGCACGGCTAGTACAAAAAAACTACTAGCGATTCGTACTTAATAAACACACTTCTGGTCTCCGTCATTTTTTGGCGTGATTCTTATTTGAAAACCTGCCGAGGTGAAAATAATCAACTGTATATCAGGGTAGATGGGGAATGTGGCGTTATTGGAGAATAATCTTCCATCCAGGAAGTTCCCAAGGGGGCAGCGCGTTACTGTGGGGAGATGACGCTTACTTGACAAGAAAAATATGATTCTTAATCCTGTGTGCTTTTTATCAAATAGAGATACACAATAACGGTGTTAATTCTCTCATAAAACTCTCCAGTTGATGATCTGAATAGGGAAAAAATAGCGGTAAATAGAGCTCTGTGACGAATCGGATCGACAAGACCCGCTTGTAAAAAGATCACATACTACAAGTTAACGGGCGCGCGCAACAATGGGGAATCTATTGCAAGGACTTCATTTACTGGAAATAAATCAGTCACGAACAGAGGGTAATTGGTACTGTGTACACACACTCAGGCATCTCTTCTGATATTGATAATACCAATTATACTGTTGTGCTGTGTGCTTCGCACCACTGGATTTGTTCGTGGAGAGTTTGCCTGCCAACTGTAGAATTTTATCATAACATGACTGCGACAAGTGGCAACCGACACGGGACCAACGCCGCGAGGTTCGCGGGTCGGTAGTGAACTCTGCCCCGCCTGTGGTCTACAGATCGTTCTTTTCTTCCCACATTTCAGACGAGGGTTAAGTTTCTCGGGACTTTAACCTGTTGTGTGTGGCGGCGTGTGCCCGTGTATCCGTGTTGTGTCGGGGCTGACCGGGCAGCCAGGGTCGGAAGTCTGACACCCGTCCATCCATCAAACCGGGAACGTGTAGCGCCGTGACAGCGGATAGCTCCGTTGTCCTCCCAACCCCGCACAACGGCTCCCTATCTGGCTATGCGGATTTGTAATCAGTGTCGTCCGACGCAGAACAAACGCAAGGTACATAACAGCACGGCTATGTCACAAAGCGAGAGCTAAGCCAATGGCCCTCAACATACACCTATTGCTTCTTGTTGTCGCATCTTTCCCCTCACGAGGGTCATTTGAGAAAACACCGGGCGAGAACAGAGATAAGGTCCAAATCGAAATGCCCGGCAGAGGTATTTGCCTCCTTGGTAATCTAAACTGTAGTCGTAAAGTCCTGGTGTGCTAAAGGCAAATTTGGAGAGCTAAACACGTAGCAGTTTCGGCTAGAGACGCACGTTACTTGAGGGCGAACAACGCCTCCGGACTGTCTCAACTTTCAGAAACAATTTCCAACCGAATCGATCAAAGAAATGGAGGGGAGTCCGAACTCTCCCGGAAGTAATCGCATCAAACCCCGCACCTTGGAGAATTCCCACACAGAAGCGTTGGCACTAGATTTACACCAATTATGATCCAATAATCAACTTAGAACTGACAGCAGTGCTGGGCGAGAAGTTTCGTCTCCTCCTCGTTACGTATGACGGAAGACTGTCTCACGGATGGCGGGGCTCTGTTGTCGGGCTCCGGCCTTTTACAGGCACTAGAAGTCTCACCGGGGGTCACCCGTAATAAGACAAGAACGCTACATTTCTCAGTGGGGACGAAATCCCCATAAGAAATCAGCTAACCAGCCGTTTTGGTACGGTACAAGAAAATGTGCGACCCTGGACAACGGTGTGCCGTGTACATTTCAGAGGGAAATAGGCATGAAATAAACATCCAACTTGCCTTAAAAAATCCATTCTTTCTATGTACATTTCAGGTATAGCGCAATGCGTTATAAAAATTGAACAACTTAGTTCCCAAAGCGATTTTTTCGTTGTAAAATGTACGTAACCGTTATGCAATAACATATCTATCTATCAGTTTGTTTATGTAACGGCTTGGTTATTTACCTTTTCTTGTTGCATGAAAATAAGCGGAAATAGGGTTTAACTATTTCTCACCTAGCTAGAAGCTCTAACGTGTTTTCAATGACTGGTAGGTAGGTGTTAGTTGTGCGTGTGTGGCTGAGGCCCGGTGACTGTTGTGTGTAGAGAAGGTTATCGCTCAGTGGCAGGGATGGTTACCGTCGTTTACAAGTCACAAGGTGAACACTGACACATTGGCTCGATTTGTGAGACTCGGAGAACAGACAATTTTCTTAGAAAACTAGCAAACATTGCTGTATTTTGTTCAGCAACAAAGTGCGCTGAAGTGATGTACCTGTACTGTAAATTATTGTAAGTGTCAAAATATATTTACATTTTGAAAAATCAAAAAGGAAGAACAAAACATCTAACAAAAGCCGAAGAAACATATTTTAAGAAATGTTCAATGATATACATATTATTCGTTTGTTAAAATAAGTCTAAATTGTAGAAAGTTAAAAACGTAACTTATTGCGTAAAATTATGCAAATCCGTAAACATGCATGCCATGGTAACCATTTGTACTTCCAGCAAAGCTGTGTTTACAATAGCAACAGGACCCAAGGAAAGGAAGAATTGAAATTTTTCTCAACCCATTGTTTCACGATATCTCGGTCCAACATTTCAGTCTCCAAGCTTTTGGTACCCCGTGCGTGTAGTTTGACCCGGCAAAATGTGTGAAAAGTAAATATATTCTTCTAATCTATTAACTGTTGGAATAATCTATTAAGACATTTGTCTACAGAAACTGCCGAAACAGGCATGTCACAATCACTCAAACATGGATAGATGAGTTTGTTTCCCAAACAGAAGGGATATAGTACAGTACAGCACGGTGCGTCCGTCTGTGTGCGCCGCGCCCGTACGGTTTCATTTTCCCGCCAAGCTGCCCCGTAAACTTGGGGATTGTTGTATCGATCAACTTTTAATGTACGATGTGAGGGGATAAACTCAACACACGGGTGACTTAATTCCCCGCTCTATGGACGGGATAACTTGTGTGGCGATTACGCTGAAAGCTTTACACTAGAGAGTACAAAAATGAACAGCATAAAAAGAATTGTACGGTAAATAACGTACTGGACGTAGTGTTAGAGTTTTACTTGAGTCTCACAGCTTTACCGTATCATCCGCACACTTTCAACAATAATCTTGTTATCCCGCCGGAGTAGAACTAGCCGACAGTGATACTCGGACTCATGATAACCTCATTATACATGCAGGTCACGTAGCCACACTAACTACCCACTGTGCCTCATCAAGGTTCAAAACCCCCGCTCCATATCACAACGGTCAAGGTTAGATCAAGAAAACTTCCTTAAACGACATTAACGGAACAAAAGATAAACTAATAGCTGCCAATAATAGGTATTGCGAAATGGATTCAATAAATCTATTTTCTATAGCTTATACCTGTTGAAGGCTATAAGTTTCCATCAAATATGTATATATTGTTTTTGAAAAGTTATCGGTAACTTTCGTTGCTTTTAAAGATATACTGTTAGCCAATTTAAACGGCAAAGTCGGCACGCATCAAAGAAACAGTATATAGTGAGCCCTCCTTTTAGCGCCAACACTCGTGATGCGAATCTGCGGCTCCAAATTAGGAGCTACTGCCAAGAGTCTTCTCAGGTCAACTCAGCGTGAAGTAGAAATATTTTTTTCTATCCACGATCAAAAAAATAAACAGACGGCAAAAAGACATCGTAACGTCTTGATATCTTCTAAATCTCTTTTTCTGTTTTAAACTGTTGAATACATGCACTGATTCTTTTTCTCTTGGTGACATAGACAACCAAAAAAAAAAAGATTAAGACCTAGGCTACCTTACCTTCTGTTTTGAAGAGACAGATTCTTAAAATGATCACTACCTACATCTACACACAATCTATTATGTTTTGATTGACACCGGTAATACGTTTTTTTTCATATTGCAACATTCGTGTAGACTTCATTAGTAGCTGAGGGACACACGTACAATAATAGAAAGTCATGCCTTCCTATCCAATTTTCCTAGCACAAAGCTAGTCCCGGCTCTATCTGGGACTTGATATTAAGATCGATATGATATTTTGAATGTCCAGTGTCGGTATCGTGTAGTGGGAGGGTCAGCGGCCTTGTCGGCATTTTGATGAGGAAAAGTCACGACCGTTTACGGCTTAGCTAGGTCAGCTGCTGGCAGACGCCCTTCTGTCCCATACCCCTTCATTCAGAGAAATCGAAAAATCGTTTAAATCAATTCAGATGTGGGTCCGCCTCAGATACAAATAGAGTTAGGTGAGTGCGGCATACGTTCTGATACTAAATCCTACTTTCAAGTGTTGAGAAAAATCATAATCAAAACGTTTATAACAAGTAAACACTGTTGTACGAATGGGCGAGATGGATGTGTGATAGAATTAACCTTAACGGGTACAGAGGAACACTTATGTGTTTGTGATCTAAACACGACGAACAAAACGCCTGGAAACCTAAGCTAGGCTACCCTGGGCGGCACACAATTGTCGGTGACAAGGCTAGAAGAGGATATGCTCTCAATACGTGCGAAGAGACTCTTTGCTACACAAAACACTCCTACTCTAAAAGCGTGCACTCACAAAGCGCCCGGGTAAATGATGTATTGTCTTATACCATGGTCTCTTATCGTCCAGATTTCGTCTGCTTACATTTCGGAACCAGAACCGAAAAGATCGGAGGTAAAAAAAGCCATTTAGTCGTTCCAAACGTCAACAGAACGCTTGCCATCTCTCCTCGCGTTAGCACATGTAAACAACGTTTCGCACATTTTCCGAGCAACGAAATTGCCTTTCTGCGAACGGATAAATGAATTATTACACAGAGCTGTATCGTGTGTTTGCCCGTTCTTGACTGTGTGATGCTCGGATATCGCTGTGTACTGTAGGTAAATTGTTAATGGTACAATTAAGTCCTTGTAGGGTTAGTGTGAGCCAACAGCAGGGTCATGTCAAGGGGAGGCCGCACACATTA